TAAGACTGACACTTAAGAATTACTCCTACACTTCACTTAAAGTAAGACTGACACTTAAGAATTACTCCTACACTTCACTTAATTAGCTGTGGTGGCCATCTGAAATTGTTTTGACACCAAAGTTTTATTAGTTTTCCAAAAATAACTTTGTGAAAGTTTTAAAAAAATCTGTTCAGAAGTTTTTTTATTCGTGTTTCTGCAGGTCTGCATTTTTATGTGATGTGCATAAACCTTTTATTTTTTTACACAAAATTTAAATAGCTTACTTTTCATAAGCCATAAGACAATGTAGGTAGGTAAGGATGGAGACATTTATTAGAATTCAGATTTCTCCTGTGTGTCGTCAGAACAGTTCAACACACTGATAGGTTTTATTAAAGCCTATTTTATTTTAAAATAATTTTCTTTTGCAGCTTGAAGAATGAAGCTCGGCCAATCCTGAAGTCATCACTGATTCCTGTTTCAAGTAAACTTTTACAAACACTGTTTATGAACAGTGTCCTCGTGTTGTAGTTGGGTTATATTGATAACTTTTATTTTGTTAGTATTTTGTCACACCTGTGTAACTGTGAAATGTGCTCATGTGACACATGACAAATGATTACAATAAAGAGATTTGATTGACCCTCCTAAAACTGTTTCACTGTGTTTTTTTACAGTTAAAGTTTTATTTCAGTAGAAGTGTACTATTTACCACAATTTATTACAAACTAAGCTACTTTAAAGAGGACGAGAACACTGATAAGTTGCAGCTGTTAATGACTTTCTGTAGTAATTTCACATAAATCGTCAGTTTTACTTGAAGTTTATTATTACAAAGAAATTTATCAGTGAAGCTTCTCTCTGCCCCTGATGGACGAGCAGCTCACCTCGCTCTTTGGTCCCAGTGGAGAGAAGATACACATCAACAAATGTTAGAGAATTAATAAGCTTACAACAATTTAATCTAAGTTTTGCACAGAGAATGAATGAATGAATTAATGAATGAATGATACTTTATTGATCCTATGAAGGGAAATAGTTCAAAACAGCCCGTTCAAGAGATGGACAAAACACAACAGACTGGGAGAACAGGTGTCCTGGGTCGAACATCCATAAGAAGCGGTACCCTTAATAATAAAGAAGAAATTTTCAAACAATTTTTAAATTACCTTAAAACTAAATTACCTGTGGTAAATTTATCTCCATTTAATAAAATCAATTCAATTCAGTTCAAGACTGAAGGAAGCTGAGGGAGAGTCAGGCTGTGGAGCTCAGTGGAGCTAAAGTCTTATCAGATCCAGCTGCTGGTTCAAAGGTTGATTCAGTGATACATGAAGCCTTGTGTTGCTGAGGCATTGTGTGTGTGTGTGTGTGTGTGTGTGTGTGTGTGCGTGCGTGCGCGCGTGCGCTCAAGTGATGTTAGCCACTAACATGCTAATATGAAGCTGTAACAGACGATCATGCTAAGCTTGCTAACTGTTCCACCCTCTGACTGCTGCAGGGGCGTGTCTTAGAGAGGCTTTTATACCAGAACACAGCTGCTGTGACGAAACCGTGGAGAAGACACGTCACCGTGGAGAGCCGTTAACCAATATGTAAATTAGCCTGCAGTACCACTGCTCTACCCATAGTATGCAGCAAAGAGACATTTTTAGACCAGATATTGCAGATTTGAACAAATACGAGCAAAAACGTCAAAATTAGCACAGAAACAGTACTATATAACATTTTAGACACATTCTAGACAGTTTATCAGCTAAAAAAAGTTAATTTTGGGGTAAGTTACCCTTTAAAGCTGCTGTATGTAGTTTCTGGAAAAACCTGGACTTAGAAAAAATTTGAAAAACAAATGAATAGTACCACTGAGAGAAGCCAGAGAACTTTAGTTTTTCAGAGATCCTTCTTCTTTTCCTTTCAACTTTTCCCTTTAAGGGGTCGCCACAGCGACTCATCTGTTTCCAAGTAACCCTATCTTCTGCATCTTCTTCTCTCACACCAACTACCTTCATGTCCTCTTTCACTCCATCCATAAATCTCCTCTCTGGTCTTCCTCTAGGTCTCCTGCCTGGCAGTTCCATCCTCAGCATCCTTCTACCTCTATATTCACTATCTCTCCTCTGTACATGTCCAAACCAGCTCAGTCTGGCTTCTCTGATTTCATCTCCAACACAACTGACATGGGCTGTTCTTCTGATGCATTCGTTCCTGATCTTATCCATCCTTGTCACTCCCAAAGAGAACCTCAACACCTTCATCTTTGCAACCTCCATCTCTGCCTCCTGTCTCTTTGTCATTGCCACTGTCTCTAAACCAAACAGCATAGCTGGTCTCACCACCGTCTTGTACACCTTCCCCTTCATTCTTGCTGATACTCTTTTATCACACCTGACACTTTTCTCTGCTCATTCCAACCTGCTTGGACACGTTTCTTCACTTCCTTACCACACTCTCCATTGCTCTGGACTGTTGACCCTAAGTACTTAAAACCCTTCACCTTCTTTATCTCTGTTCCCTGTAACCTCATGTCTCCATTTGGGTCTCTCTCATTCACACACATGTATTCAGTTTTGCTACGGCTAACATGCATTCCCTTCCTTTCCAGGACAAACCTCCATCTCTCAAGATTTTCCCCCACCTGTTCTCTGCTCTCCCCACAGATCAAAATGTCATCTGCAAACATCATAGTCCATGGGGCTTCCTGTCTAACCTCATCTGTCAATCTGTCCATCTTTACAGCAAACAAGACACTTTCAATTTCCAACTTCAGACTCATCAGCCTACCAGACACTCTTTTCATCTCCAGAACATTCCTGACCAACTCTTCCTTTAAAATGATCCCCACACCATTTCTCTTCTCATCCACACCATGGTAGAACAGCTTGAACCCTGCTCCAATGCTTCTAGCCTTACTTCCTTTCCACCTGGTCTCCTGAACACACAATATGTCCACCTTCCTCCTCTGCATCATGTCAGCCAACTCTCTAGCTTCTTTCCCTGTCATAGAACCAACATTCAAAGTTCCTACTCTCAGTTCTAGACTATTGCCTTTTCTCTTTTCTATCTTCCTACGGACATGTCTTCCTCCTCTTCTTCTTTTCTGACCACCAGTAGCCCAATTTCAACCAGTGCCCTGCTGGTCAGCAGCACCTCTGGCGGTCGTTAACCCAGGCCTCGACCGGTCCAGTATACTTGAGATCATGTTCTTGACTCGCATGTTAGATTTAGCAAAATGTTTTACACCGGATGCCCTTCCTGACATAACCCTCTGCATTTATCTGGGCTTGGGACCGGCACAAAAGACACATGTCCCTTTGTGGCTGCATTTAGTTTTTTCAGAGATTACCTTTCTAATATCAATCTGTTAAGACATAGTTACAGTTTTAACAAATATGCAAAAAAGTATATTTTTTAAAAAGTTGCATACTGTAGCTTTAAAGTTTGTGTTTTTATTTTCTCCTTCTGATAATTGGATGTTTACTTGTATAATGAGCCTCTTAATCTACTCGCGCACACTGGGGGTGGGGGGTGATGGGGGTGGGGCAGGCGGACCACACAGATGACAGCTCCTAAAGCAGGAAAGAAGAAGGGGAGAACTTATTTCTAGCTGCAGAGCAGGTTGGAAGATTGTTGTTTGATGATATTTAATGCTTTTTAACGTCCTACAGGCTCTGAAATGCAAAATAAAAATGAAACTGAGTTTTTGAAAAAGGTCAGTAGCGTGATTTGAACACTTTTTTTAGTTTATTACACACTCGCCACGGTGGCAGGTGCATTGTTCAGATCTACACGCCACTTCATAATTTTACCCACATTTGGCCAGTGGCGGGTGCTCATTTCCATCCCTGGTTATAATATCACACAGTCACAGCCATATACTGTATATATATATATATATATGTATGTCATATGTGTGTGTGTGTGTGTGTGTGTGTGTGTGTGTGTGTGTGTGTGCATGGGTATGTGTATGCATCTATAATTTTCAGCAAGTTTATAATTATCATTATTATTATTATTATTATTATTATTATTATTATTAAATACACGTGTATTTTGTTGCTGTAATTTTGTCTTCTCCATCTTTGCAGGTATGCAGACAGATGTCGAGTGTATTGTCTTTGTGTGTGTCCGTGTTTTCTTGGTGTATTTCTCACATATACTCTATTCTCTTTTTCAATCTTTCCCATTACATTTCTCCTTTTTTTCTTTTTCTTATTCTATAGATTTACTTCTTTAAAAAAGTCACTGATGCTGAAGAAACCAATATTAAGTTCTGTTTTCTACTGAAGTGGCTTAAAGAAGTGAATTACTTGATGCAGCTGATCAACCTTTAGAATTAACCTAACTTAAGGGGGCTGTATCAGATAAACCAACTTTGCCAACACATAAATGGCTACAACTCAGTCAATTATACAGATGATAAGGCATTTGGTGCGATAATAGTTGAGATTCTTTCATCATACTCTGAACATGATATTTTACAAGACTGCATGAGATTACACGGAAAGGTTTAAAGGTAGCAGGCGATATGCAGGTAAAAGCCTAGTTTTGACTCATTTTATCTGATAGAATTAAAAGTTAGAGCTGCTGATTGTATATTTTCACACGATTCACACACAGCACACCAGGCTTGTCAGATAGCGTGTTTGTTTTCTATTCTGATAACTATAGTTTGTATTTTTTAATGTTTGCTGCTCTGGAGCAGCTGATTGGCTCTGCCTCCACCCAGCACTGTTCTTGTTTGGTATCAGTTATTCAGATAAAAAACCGGATGTTTTTATTGTTCTGGCTGAGATGAACACATTCTGCCTGCTTTAGTCCAGATTCTGGAGCTGGATGTGTTGGCTGAATAAGATTGCTGGTAGTTTTTGCAGTTTGTTCTGTACAGAAGCTCTAATCACTGGAGGCTGTTGGCTGGTTCAGGAGGCAGACCCTGGTTCAGATCCACGTCTCTGATAATATTACAACTGATTATAATTTAAAATCATACAAAGTGTTTTTTTGCAAACAATTTAGGTTATAAACAAACATCCCACATGCAAGAATTCTTCTGTAGTAATAACTTTGGCCTTTTTAAACTATTGGTTTCTATGTGGTGCCGTTTGTAAAGTTACACAGTCAAAAATTACCACCAATATTTCAGCTTTATTTAGACTTTTATGAGAAAAAAAGAACCAATTTATTTTTCAAAGTCAGTTTTTCACCATATGATTCATACATTTATAAATGTCATAGTTTATAAACTAAATATTTAACTTACAAATTAAATATTTAGTTAACAAGCTAAATATTTAATGTGTGACAAATATTTAACTTAAATATTTAGCTTGAAACTTAAATATTCACAGTCGATAGCGACCTAAACATTTAACTTAAATATTTAACTAGCTACCTAAATATTTAGGTTGCAACTTAAATATTTAGCTTGAAATAAAAATATTTAGATAGCGACCTAAATATTTAACTTAAATATTTAGGTGGCTAGCTAAATATTTAACTCACAACCTAAATATTTAGGTAGCTAGCTAAATATTTAACTTGCTAGCTAATTTTTTTGAAAAATCTATTCATTTTTGATTAAAACTGAACCATTTTCTGACTGAGGAGAATGGTGTCAGATTTGGAGGTGCTGATCCTCATCCCAGCTGTGAACCAA